TTTGTGGTCATTGCCTCCAGCTTCACAAGGGACCTTGCAGAACGGGCACTGCTTCCCACAGCCAAACACTCGACGGAAAATTTCATCCTGGGGCTTCACAAGTAGGCTGCAGAGCATGGTCTCCAGGTCTGAGCCGGAAAGTTGAAGGAGGATGTCTTCTTTCAGCTGGGGAAGTGAAGTCAGTAGATTAGCACAGAACTGCTCCGTCTTTGCTGTGTTTTTAAACTGTATGCGAGCCAAGCTGTGCTTGGGAATGACCAAATCCTTCTGCAGAGCTCTGCAAAAGTGATTTAAAAATGCCAAAGCGTCAATATTCTCTTCAGTTTGGGACTCTCCCAATATGTTGCTTATTTTCTCTACTATTCCTGAGAGACACTTTCTCTCCAGCTTTTCCAAATGGCCTGTTTCTTTGTAGTGTTTGCTTAAGTGTCTTTGAATCCAGGTTTTGACAAACTTTTCATAGTGAGAAACATAACTCACATAAGATTCCACGTTCATGTCATCCAGCAGTTTCTTCTGCAGAGCGAACTGGAAGAAGGTGCGGCTACTGTATGTGATGGACTCGCCCAGGCTGAGAATGTCATCAACAATATCTATTCCTAGCCTTTTGTAGATATAATCTATCAGGGCAGGTTTAAGGCACTGACTGCAGAAATCTCTGGCTCGTATTTGATTTTCATCTTTTTCCCAGTAAAGATCAGTAAACGTGGAGAAATACTGAGCTTTCAGCTTCTCCAGATGTTGCTGAGGGTCGTTTTCTTTGACAAAGCGGTCATGCATCTCTTGGAATCTATGAGCTGCCTTCCCCAAAATGTGTAACTTCAGGTCCACTTCAAGGGAAGGACTGAAACGAAGGCTTTTCTCACAGTTCATTTGTAATCTCTTGTTGATCATGTTCAGCAGCTCTCTGCAGTAGGTTTCATCGTAATCCATTTTGGAGTTCACCTTTTCCTCAATATACCTGTTACAATCACTGATCACAGCTTCAGCAAAATTTTGTAACTGCATGTGCACGTCCTTCCCTCTGAGGGCGTCTGCTATTGCCCTAAGACGATTCCTTTGAATGCAGCTATAGTCTACTCTGAAATCCTCCCTTCCGTGCTTACAAAGGCTTTCTGCTTCTTGCAGCTTCTGCCAGATGTTACTTCCACAATGCTCCAAATCCTTTCTCAACAGCACCTCCACCTCCACATAAATTGTTCGCTTTTCTAAATTACTGAGCCTTAGTTCTGACAGCATATTTTCCCACATAGCTTCAAATTCTGATCTGAGGTCCTTGTTGCTCAGTTTACATTGTCTGTCTTTGCATTCACGCAAGAGCCTGTTGACGTCCTTCTCAATTCTCTGCACGCAGGAGTCCTGGATGCTTTCTAGCTTGAACCACCCTTTCCGAATTTGAATGGCTTCCTTGAACTTGCTGTGTGAATAACTCTGCAGTTCCCTTTTCAGGCTTTTTGTACTCTAGATGAAATCTTCACGATACTTCTCTATCAGGTTTACATTGTCTACTCCACATTCGAAATAATCTTGTAAGAGTTTCAAGCACTTTTTTTCCTCATGCTGCAGTTTTTCTTGGGCTTCCTTTTCCAAGGTGACCTGGAAATCTCCTTCTAGGCCCTGAGGTGTCTGATTCTGGATGAAGGTTTCCTTTTCCAACAGCCAGTGGTGCATTGCCTTGCGGAAGTCCCACTCCCACGCTGCATACTTCATGGACAGTTGCTCATAGGCTTCAGCCACGAGACTGTTTCTGAAGCTGAAGATGAAATTCTCGTATTTCACTGCCTTCCACAGGCTCCTCAACTACTCAGTGAATTGGGGGATGTTCTTGAGGCTTCTGCTCTTTGCCTTGATTTTGATGCATTCAAACAGATGTTTTTTGAGCTCCCCCACAGCTTCACTGTACCCCACGTTCACTGGGGCCATGGGGGGCTCTCCCTGCCACAGCCCAGGGATGTACCAGTTGTTTTTCTCAGAATTGTAGTCTATAATGTCAGAGAACGACACCTCTCTAGGAAGCTTTTCCATCCTTGCTGCAGCTTTGGTCATGTCATTCAGCTGCTCAAAGAGGTGTTTCCTGTCTCTCATGTTCTTCTCATGGACACAAACATCACTGACGTTCTGGTGCACAAACTGGCAGTTGGGTTTTATGCCAACTTCCCCCATTCTGAGAAATGCGTGGACCGCAATTTGCAGAACATCCTTCATTTCTGTGGCATTCTCCATGGCCAGATTCACAATCGTTATATCGCTCAGCCCAACCACCAGAGTGGCCAGTTCATTGTCATGTTCGTAACTGTCCTCCAGTTTGGCCAGCTCAGGGGCTTTCAAGCCTTCAGTGTCTATGACCAAGATGAAATCACAGCCCAGCTCCTGCTGAAAGCTCGCTGACACTTTAATCAGCAACATGAAGGCCCCCCGCGTGCATCGGCCACTACTCACTGCAAACTGCAGGCCAAACATGGTGTTGAGAAGGGTGGATTTCCCTGTGCTCTGCACCCCCAGCACCGTCAGCACCACCAGCCTGGATTTGCCCCCCAGCCTGATGTGGAGTTGAGTCAGGACATCAGCCACCCACTGCAGCGGGATGTTGGAGGCATCTCCATCAATCAGCTCCATGGGAAACCCTTCCAGCATCAGGTCAGCTGCTACACCTGGAAGCCGGACAAACTGTCTGTGTTCTTCAGGCATATTTATTTCTTGGGCCATTGAACATTCAGCCTCATAAAACTGCCCCAGCTCCCGCATGAAGTGCTCCACCCCTAAGGAGCTCTCTGAAATTTCTTTATCAAGTATGTTTAACAACTTTGTGTCATTTCCTGAGAGCTCATTTTCCTGTTTGTACTTGGCATTCAGTTGGGAAATCTTCTGCCTGGCAATGTGATCCAAGTTGAATTTCAGCCATTTCAGGAAATAATGTTTCTCCACTGTGGAATGCATCCCTATTCCACTAATAAATTGAATCAAACCGGGGGTGAGATCACAGTGATTTTGCTGTCTGCGTAAGTCCTGGACTCTCTCCCTCAGCTGAGATTTGTAATCTTCAGTGGCAGTGTCGCCCTGCTTTCTCATCCGGCACAGCTCTTTCTCCACTTTGGCCAAGTTCTTCCAGAGCTCTCCCTGCAGCAGGAGCATCTCCTGTTTGTACCTTGCCACATCTCCTATTCCTGCAGTGATCTCCCTGGCCAGCGTGCTGCCAGTACGGAACGACAATTTCTGAAGAGAAGTAACCTGGCATTTTCCATAGTCCTCATCCACCAGGATCTTCAGGTCACGGCCACGTCGGCCATGCCCTCAATGGTCATTGTTTTAGGGGAAGCGTTGAGTACGCCTGCTATTGCAGACTGGAGGCTTTTAACAAATCTTGCTTCGTTAGTACTACTAGTTTTTACTAACAGACATGACTTTTCCAAGCACAGTGCAGGGGTGAACTTAGCCAGCGTTTTCTTGGCATTCCCACCCTGGTCACTGATGATGAAGAAGTATTTGGTTGTTGATCCTGACAGAGATGACAGCAGCTCATGTTCTAACTCTCCGGTGCTCTCAATCACTATGAACACTGCTGAGGAGACCTGTGTTAAAAAGCTAAACTGCACCCAATGTGAGCTGATGTCCCCGTGAAGGTTGGTAACTGCAATGGGCTCTGGGAAGAGATCTGACTTCTCCCTCCCACGAGGGAAGTACCAGCTAATTTCTACTAGCCCATCTGCAATTTTCCGGCATGCATTCCCAGACTCCATGTCCCTGTGGATAAAGAAATCGTGGTGGTGCTGAGAAGGACTGAGAACAGCATTGAGGAGCTTGGACTTGGAGAAGCTGCAGTGCCCCAGCCGCATGAAGGAGAAGGTGGGCATGGGCACACACACCAGACTCTCCTCCTTGAACCCTCTGCTGTTTGCCAGGGAGTGTGGACTCCACTTCTTCACGATGCTCCTCATGGCCCAGAGCAGGAGGGTGTGCTGATGGGAACCAAGAGGAGGAAGCAGCAGCGGAAGAGCAAACTGGCACATGGCCATTTTGGAGATGACCTCCTGCTGGAGGAAGCCATCTGAGGAAAGCAGAACAGCACAGAGGACATCCAGAGGATGTGAGGAATCACTCTCATTCACCTCATCCAGAGAAAACAGATCATCAGACATGTCTGTATCATCTCCGTCCACACTTGTTCCTACACCAGCACTTCTCCCATTGCCCAAATTGGTGCTTCTGGCCAGGCCATGTAGACCCATTACCTTTCTCAGAAAATGCCATGGTAAATCTCCTTGGGTCTGAGGCATCCCATCATTCATGCTTTGCTCAGTGATCTCAAGGAGGTCCGTTAGCTGCAGCTTCTTGGTCTGGTGTTTCTCCAGTTCTAGCACTGACAGCACAGACTGAAGTCTTTCTTCTCTCTCTGGAAGAAAACAAGCATGTAAGCAAATCCCCGCTGTTCAGTTAATGCCACTATGTAAAAGGAACGACAATTTCTGAAGAGAAGTAACAAAACCAGGAAATGAATAGGTCTAGGGAGCACTCCTAGAAGGACAGTTACTAGGGAGACAAATGGGACATAAGAGCACTCCTGAAAGAGTGGAGGAGCTTTAAGATCTTTCTGTACTTCACTGTAGATGTTCTTGAGGTCCTGGAGGGCTCTTGCTCGCTCCCATGTCAGCTAAGCTTAGCGCATTTCAGCAGGGAGTGACGAGGAAACCTTGCTTTTGGTGCTGTAACCCACGTTACCTACAACCCACAGCCAAGCTTATCCTAGTAGTCTGAAAAGCAGGGGCCATCTAAGCTCCCTTACAGTGAGAGGCCTAGTCAAGGAATGTGACAGGCTGGCCCCAAAATTGTGGATGCTGCCTGCTCCTAGTGTGATGTCCTATTTGCACTTTTGCTGAAGGGCGGCAATGGAGCATCAAAGGGCAGGGGAAACTCTTACCTGCCTCCGCTACTAAACACGAAGAACCTGCAGCAAGTTGCTTCTGGGAGGGCCTGCAGCCTTCATGCTGGGGTTCCTCCTCCATCTCTTCAGACCCTAGAGAGAAAGCCAGATTAAGATTTGTCCAAGCCTTTCTGGACCCCAAGGGCTGCTCCTGTAGGTCTCCTGTGTGCCAACGAGGAATGTGCACGTTTCTGCTGCATACAACATGTCTATCCTCGGACTGTGGTCATGGGATGTGACATGGCTGTGCCATGGGCTGGCGCCCCTGCACTCAGCTGTGGGCTGTGGCTGCCAGGGCTG